CACACACACACACACACACACACACACACACACACACACACACACACACACACACACACACACACACACACACACACACACACACACACCACACACACAACACCCATACATACATATATAATATATATATATATATATATATATATATATATAATATATATATATATTATATAATATATATATATGTGTTTGTATATATTATATATATATATATATATATATATACTATATATATATACATATATATATAATATATATATATATATATATATTATACATATATATATTCACATACATATATATATTTATGTACACACACACACACACACACACACACACACACACACCACACAACACACACACACACACACACACACACACACACACACACACACACACACACATGCGCGACAGACAGACAAACAGAAAGGCAGGCATGCACATGCAGGCATAGAGAGACAGACAGACAGCAGGCAGACAACAGACAGACAGAGAGACAGACAGACAGAGCACAGACAAACAGGACAGACAGAACAGACAGGCACAGACAGAGAGAGAGAGACAGACAGACAGCAGGCAGAGACAACACAGATCAGACAGACACAGACAGACAGAAGGACAGACAGGACAGAAGACAGCACAGACAGACAGACAGACAGACAGCAGCACAGACATAGACACAGACAGACAGAGAGACAGGCACGGACGAAGGCTGAGAAAAGCAGAGGCCGGGCGAGGCGGTTGTGCAGCGCAGACCGATGTTGATTTGGGCAACTTTCTTGACTGACAGAAATACTTCCTCGTCTGCCTTATCAACATGCGATGTCGTCTAGGATCTTAAGTGAAATCTTGATCAGGATCACTCATTTCCCAGTTTCTTAAATCAAAATTAGGTTTATTTTTATTCTGATTTTTTTTCTTTTCTTTTTTTTCTTTTTTTTTTTTTCTTTTTTTTTTTTTTTCTTTCTTTTCTTCATTATCATTATTCAGTTTCCTGCAATGTCCACGCCGGCCCACCCACCACTCCTCGCCCACCCTCCTCCAACTTCCTTACATCGTCCTTCTCACTCACTTCGCTTCGTCTTTGTCATTACCGTCTCCACTTCCCCCCCTCCCCACCCCACCAACTTCCTCTCATGGTCTCCTTCCCCACTTTTGCCCTTACCGTCTCAGCTTCTCTCCCCCACTCCCTCCCCTCCTTTCCCTCTCTCTTCCAGCTCCCTCATCTCCTCTTACCGTTTTCTCTCTCATCCACACCTTCCCCCATCCAAGCCCCCCCTCCAACTCCCCTTCCCCACACAAACTATCCTCCCCCTCCGACTCCCCCCCCTCCTCCGCCCAAACCAATCCCTCCCCCTCAAACTGCCCTTCCCCTTCCAACTTCCCCCTCCCCCACCCCCTCCAACTCCCCTCCCCTTCCCTCCCACCTCCACCTCCCTCCCTCCCCGGCGCGTTTGAATGAACATGTTCTAAATAGAGTTGAGCGACCCAGACTTGCTTGATTACGTTCACAGACAACCACTCTTCAGGCTATCCCCCCACCAACCCCTTCCCCCTCCCCTCCCCTTCCCTCCTCCTCATCTCTCCGCTGTTCCCTCTCTCCTTTCCACTCCCCTCTCTCGTTCCTTCTCTTGTCCCCTTTCTTTTTCTTGATATTCTCTTTATCCGCCTTTTCCCCCTTTACGCTGTCCTTTTCCTATCCCTCTCCCCGCCTCTCCTTTTTTTCTCTCTTTCACTTTTCCTTCTCTTCGGTTCTCCCTCTCTCCCTTTCTTTTCTTCTCTGCGTTCTTCCTCCTCTCTCCCTTTCCCTCTTCTGTTCTCCCTCTCTGTCTGTTCTCTCCTCTCTGTCTCTTCCTATTTCCCTTCTTCTGATATCCTCTTTACCCCCCCCCCCATCAATTCCTTCCTTCTACACCATCTCTCCGCTTATCTCTCTCCCCCTTTACCCTGTTTTCTTCTTCTCACCTCTTTTCCCTTATTCACCTATTCTTCCTCTTTTATTTCTTTATTTCTTTTATATTCCCTTTCTTCGCCCTCTTCTTTCTGTATCCTGGTCATTTTCCCTTCTCTTCCTTATATTTCTCTCTTTTCGTATATGTCACGGATTCGTGTCGTGTCTTTCATCTTTTTCCCTCTTCCCTGTTTATGTCTCTGTCCCTGTCCCTGGCCCTGTTACTATCCCTGGCCGGTGCCTAGCCGTGTCCCTGTTTATTGCCCCTGTCCTTGTTTCTGTCTCTGTCCATGACCCTGTCCCTGTCTATCCATGTCCCTGTTTAAGATCCTGTCCTTGTCTCTGTCTCTGGCCCCTATCCCTGTCCCTATTTCTGTCCCTGTCTCTAAACCCATGTCTCTGTTTCTGTCCCTTTTTCTGTCCTTGTCCCTGCCTCTGTCTCTGTCCCTGTTTCTGTCTTTGTTCCCAGCCCTGTTTTATATCTCCCTCCGCGCCTCTCTTTTTTTCTTTCTCTCACTTCTCAGTAATTGAGTTGGTTTAGAAATGTAATATTTATGAGGCGATTGGTCACGAGAGAGAGAGAGAGAGAGAGAGAAGAGAGAGAGAGAGAGAGAGAGAGAGAGAGAGAGAGAGAGAGAGAGAGAGAGAGAGAGAGAGAGAGAGAGAGTGTGTGTTGATAAGTTACAGCAGCAGACCTCCGAGAAAAACTGCGAATAGACATAAAGGCAAACGAAAGGACAGCAAAATCAATATCAGCGACGTGTAAACAAAACAAGTAAAGCAACAGCCGCGAGAGCCTCCCACCCAACCCCCGAGGCGAAGGGAGCTCGAGGAAAAAAAGGATAAAAAAGAAAAAAAAGAAGAAACAATACCAACGGAGTAAGTAGAGCGGAGAACAAAAGCGCGCTGGGTGACGTGTGAAGACGTGTGGGTCAGGAAGGTTATTCAACGGGCGCGTCATTCCGTGCTGGGGCCCTCGGCGGGGCACGGGAGGGCATGAGAGGGCGCGGGGGAGAGAGGAGAATGTATGAGAGGGCTCGTCGCGGCGCTTGCGGGGTACGAGGGGGTGCTTGTAGGGTACGAGAGGCCCGCACAGGTCGTGGCGGGTGGGCGAAAGAAGGTGCGAGAGGCTATGAAGGGGCAAGGCGGGGCACGGGGTTGGAAGAAGAGGCCTGTCGGAGCTTTGCGAAGTACAGGAGGGCACGAGAGGTCCAGCCTGGTGCTTGTGGGGCACCGAAAGGCACGAGAGGGTATGGTTGGGGCGCTTGTGGGCACAGGGGCTGGCCGCGTGGTCCTGGCGCGGCGTCCGGTTCCGCGGAAGGGCGGCGTCATTTTCACGAGAAGTAATTATCGTGGTCCGGGGCGAGGGCTTGGGACTTAGGCATCCTTCGGGAGGGATGGGACTAAGGGAGGGGCGCCTTTTTAGGGGGAAATTAATGGCACCATGGTAGGTACAGTGACTTTTGGTGCGAAAAAGGGCATGGTGCAGTAACCCGAATGTGAAAAGAGTTTGGCACAGGGAACTTGGTACAGAACTTTAGGGTACAGGGACCTTAGTAATGCACAATGACCTCCATAATGGTGTCTTATCTTCCAATAAACCCTTTTGTGTATAGTGAGGTTTTCTGCCACTTTAATAACTGTTAGGAACGTGAACTGAAAGGAACACCGACACCGCTGCGGTTGGACGTTAAAAGGAGACTTGATCATATATTTACTTTGATTACTGATTTATGGCTACTTGTGAGGAGAAACCTTGGTAATTTATATCTTTTTCTTTCTTTCTTTTAGGTAAGTTTCCGGCTCATGCAGAATCCATTGCCTCAAGATAGTATGTTTTACGTCCTGTTATTACCGTCTTTTTTTTATTAATGTTTGATCGAATTTCGCGTCCGTTGGGTGGCTTATTTGACATTGGCAATCAATGTAGACGTTGTGGACAATTGATATATAATCCACATGATATTTACAAGCACTGTATCCATACACTACATCAATAACACAGCACGACCAGCACTTAGAGAGACTCACACATGCCAGACAATCATACGTATATAAAGGAACCACACACCGTGGGCATCACCTCATAGCCACATAGAACCCGTGACACAGCATTCACACCTCCATAGAGGAACCCCCCGCCGTCCACACACCGCATGGAGCGACATAGAACCCGATACTGGCTATCACACAACATACGGACCTACGCGAAGGAACACCACCGCATGAAGCCACATAGACCCGTGGTGGCTGGCTGTGTCATCATCAATACACAACACCTTTCACGCCATCAATGCACCAACGCGATCACATAATGCAATGACACCACCACATGCTTGCGACGGTGGGGTCTGGGGTGGGGGGGGGGGGGGGTGCTGAGGTCTCGGTCGCGGGGGAGGGCGGCGGGGGGGGGGGGGCGGGGTGCTGCGTTATTGGGAAGTTTGTCTGGGCTGACGGCTGTTCAGGTCGTTCGGTCTTTCGGCTCGTTCAGCTTCGCTCTTCGTTGTGTTTTGTGCCTTTCATTCCCTGTTTGTCTGTCTGTTTCCTTGTCTGTCTGTATATCTATATCTTTCTATCTGTCTATCTATGTGTATGTGTCTCTCTGTCTGTCTGTCTCTGTCTGTCTCTCTCTCTCTCTGTCTCTGTCTGTCTCTGTCTGTCTGTCTCTGTCTCTCTCTCTCTCTCTCTCTCTCTCTCTCATCTCTCTCTCTCTCTCTCTCTCTCTCTCTCTCTCTCTCTCTCTCTCTCTATATATATTAATATATATATATATATATATATATATATATAACACACACAACACACACACACACACACACACACACACACACACACACACACACACCACACACACACAACACACACAACACACACACCACGTGCATACATACATATTTACATTCATTCATCATATGTATATGTATATAAATGTGTATGTGTGTGTNAGAGAGAGAGAGAGAGAGAATGTGCATGCGAAAGCATATGCAAATTAATATATATACATATCTCATAACTTAAGGAGGTATGATCGATCAAAGAAACACACGAGTGAATATTCATATTGTATTGAAAGAAATAAATTATAAAAATACATATAGCTTAAAGCATATTACTACTAATATCACAGGTTAAGTACATCATTGTACAAAGAGATGCAACAGAAGCAGGAAGCACGTACAAGTATAGTCACGCTCCCACTTTGCGGATGACGTCACACTCTCCCTCAAGCCCTTAGCGTCCGCATTCCTCGGTCCTTCTGGAGCCCCGTGCCCGATGCCCACATCTTGACCGCTGGCGAAGTTTGCTTCTTGTCGTGCGCACGGCAGTTCACGTGCTTTCCTGGCGGGAAGATTCACAGCTGATCTATAAGTTGTCGCGTTGATTCAATTTTTTGTTTGGTCTTCTTTGTCGGAAGATTTACGCGTGTCAGCGAAGGTGGTTATCGCATTCTCTTCTCCATTCCTTTGTGCGAGTCAGCGATTATAGGAGATAGTGATCACTCTTTCCACGCACGGCTATCGGAGACCTCACCCATTCCTTCCACTCGCCAGCATCGCTGCAGCTCCGAAGATACTCTCCTACGTGGCCTTCTCTTAATTTGCGAAGTTCGCATTCCTCTTTTAATTGTGAACACCCACGACCTCACGTATCTAAAGCTTCTCACTTGCTGCTTTACACAATAACGCTTAATATCACAACAAACCACAAACGTACACTGAACAATAAATATATTCATGTTCGTTCATTCCGAGTTGGAATTTTCAGAATGACTGAAGATCACAAGAATTCTTTGGATTATGTAATGTTTATGCGCAGCACTAAAACATGTTGCCATGAGCTGTAACAATGAATGGTTCACATTCATATCTGCCGGCTGCATCTGACCAGCTTGCTGCGCTCTTCCTTGTCCAGAATGATGAGCTCGGTAATGGGCTGCGGGGGCGGCGAGTGGCGGCCGATGAGCGACCCGAGCATCCGCGTGACCGAGAGCTTCCTCTGCTTGGGAGACCCGTTGTTGATGTTACTGCCGCTGGCGATGGTGCGCTGCATCTTGACCTCCTTCAGGAAGTGGTCGAGGACTCCCGTAAGGGGAACGCAGCTCTCCGCCGTCGAAACCTCGAAGAACCGAGCACCGTGAGTGAGCGAGAGGGACTTGGCTTCCACTTCCTCGACTTCGCGGAGGTGATGCAAATCGCTCTTGTTTCCTAGCATCAAAACACATGACGCTGCTCGCCGTTCTGATAGTTCCTGATGGGCAAGAGGAAAATGTCGTTAGTTATTTTATATATTTGGAAAGATATGACATACAAATATCCACCGAATCTCTCACAAACAAAAGTCAAATAAGAATCAAGAGATATTTACCTGAACTGTGCTAGCGGCCCATCTGTAGGATTCCTTGTCTGTGACGGAGTAGACAACAACGAAGGCCTCGGCCCACTGCAGGTGAGCGTCAGAGGACTCGTCGCAGCTGGCGGAGGTGTCCATGATCTCCACTGGCTGCGGCGTCCCGTCCACCTGCAGGACGCACTTGTACAGCATATCTGTAATGATGAAGAAAAAAAAACACATGAGTACTCCGAATAAAGAGCGATTTATAGATGGTAAACATACATGATACCGGAAAGTGTATTTTCGTCCAAAGGCATTACAGAGTCGGGACAAAGCCTACCTGTATCAGACCGATATTCTCCGATGAACCTCTTGGTAAGGTACCGAACGGTCAGGGCAGACTTGCCAACCTGACTGGTTCCTAGGACAGCAATGCGAATTGGGCACATGTTCCTCTCTTCTGTTCGCATACTCTTACGCAAACTACGATGTTCCTCCTGTCCACACGATTTTCTAGTTTGTTACAATTATGTGTGATTGTGTCACAAACGGTTTCACTCCAGAGTATTCACAATAATCCACGAACACTGCACAATATCCCTGCCGAGAATATGGCAGAGGATTACGTCTGATCACTCTATGAGAACGATAGCCTGGAGGGTTGTGAGTGGGTTGCCGTGGGCGCGTAGCTATATAGCTTGCGGCTAGAGTTGCCAGCCAGTAAATCACTCTCCCTGCCTCTGAACTTGATACAATGCTGTTTATCTGTTTCCTAATATTTTATATTTTGTGTCCTCGGTAGAAACGCCCTTGTGTTAAGGAAATGCGGAGAGTGAATTATGCAGAATTGCAATGTGTCACTGAAGGAGAAAAAAAGGAGAAATAAGGCGTTGCTAAATCTACGCTCCCTCTCGTGAGATAAGAGTTTCCGTTGAACACTCAAGCCACACACCTCTTGGCTGATGCGTAATACCTCCCTGCCTCGGTCGCTTATTATCCGGACTACAAGGCCTGGCATGCATGTCCTGGAGTGGTGAGTTGAAGTCATGGGGGTAAATAAATAAAACAAGATGTACGTTTACTGTGCATCCGATGTTGGTTCATCGCGAAGGATTCCCACATTACTTATAACAAAAGCCGTAGTGCTGAGCTCATTAGCTACACTTCCATACGAAATCACATCGTGACTCGTTATTTCTCACCCCACGCATGCGGCTCTCAAAAAGAATGATGGAAAAAATAAAGAAAAAAACAAGACACAAAAAACATTAGGAGAATTATTAGTTCCTATTTTTCGTATTGCTTTACTATTGATCATTTTCAGGCATCCCTTCTTTAACTTCTATGGCTTTTTTCTTATACAAAAAAAAAAAAAAAAAAAAATATTGCTGAACATTCCCTTTTTATGCAAGCTTTATATGAAAGAGTGCGATTATTCTTACTACTAAAAGCAATCTTAGTCCCATTAAACTCTAAGGAAAATTTAAGACATATTTCACATTTCCTCGCTTTCCGGGTTTTGAATACTCTAGACAAAGGTGCATAAAATACTGCAAATTACATTAGAATAAACGTGTATCGTGTAAAAGAATGAGGCCATAATATACGCTTCGTGTGGATACCATCACATGTTGCAGTCCCCAGGCATGATCATACTGACTGACTTGCAAAATCAGAAAGGGCCAAGCAAAGTGTGGATACACATCTTGGACGATGTCACATTAACACTTCCTTCAAAGGGGGAACTACTGAGTTGATTAGTTATAAACGACCTAGAAGTTTTAACCACTACAACCAGTTTACTCATGAACAAGATGATGTGATACTGTGAATGGCAGAATCAAACTGGCAGGTTAGTGCAGATTGTGATGTCGAAGAAACTAAGAGTAATGTATATAATGAACAATATAAACGAACACTTGTATATCACATCTCAGAGGGTCATGTGTTACAGCCTTGCAGACCACCTAGCATGAAGTACAGGGAGATGTGTAACTATTTCATATAATACTTAAGCTGTATCCTAAATTTAGAATGTAGTATTGCATGACCACATAACAAATGTAACAATGGCTTTTCACGCCCAAGTATTACATCAGGTGGGTAGATGATTGGATAAAGGATTATCCGATTGTTTTCTTTTGGTATATAACGATAATAATATTATAGCCAAAATTTCCAATATAATAATACTATGTAATGCTATGACCATAGATCACAATATTGAGTGTGTGTGTGTGTGTGTGTGTGTGTGTGTGTGTGTGTGTGTGTGTGTGTGTGTGTGTGTGTGTGTGTGTGTGTGTACATAAATTATTATATATCTGTAAACACACACACACACACATATATATGCACAAATACACACAAACATACACACACACATACACATACACACACATATATATGCACAAATACACACAAACATACACACACACATACACATACACACACATATATATGCACAAATACACACAAACATACACACACACATACACATACACACACACATATATATGCACAAATACACACAAACATACACACACACATACACATACACACACACACGTGCACACACACACACAAATACGAGTGTGTGTATGTGTATATATACATACATACATACATACACATCAC